CTAAAATCATATAGAAAGCATACAATACAAATTGTTAATATTTATATTGTGAAAATATCACATTCTTCCTGGTAGTATACATGGAGGAAACAATAAAAACAACTTTTAGCAAATTGTAATGCTAAGTGGCACTGCATCCATAACTGTAGTCACTATGGGGCCTATGCCATTTTGTACTTTACAAAGAAACACTGTAGTTTCTCATTCTCATTAACATCTCTCGACTTTCCCACCCAATTCCCTGCTTCTTTAAAGTTGTAAATTTTATATGCTAACAACAAATATAATCAAGATTTCATTTATCTATGTGTGGCAGACTTCATGTAATGACCTTGGTTAATCTACTTTGTCTCAAAAGTATTTCAAAACTCAGTAAAATTTAATTGCACGAATCAACTGTACTTTACCCATACAACTAGGGTGATGGTTTGCATATAAAATGTTCCTTAAAGGCGATGTATTGAAAACTCAAATGCAAGGTGGTGTTTTTCTGAATTTAACATTATTATGCACTTTCCAACCTCATCCATGCACTAGTCCACAGATATATTGGGGGAAGATTGCCTCTGCAAGTGTGCTTTGAAACAGCGTATCTCATTCTTGACACGCTTCTCTGTCTATGTCACTCTGATTCTCAGCTTTTTCACTTTTGGTATTTATACTAAATCTCATTTTGAGTTTCTGCATATTTTCTGATGTTATGAAAATAATGTTTTCATACATTATTTACATAGGCTTTCTTTTCAGTGGGAGTTCTTTCACAATTTTCTGGGTAATAGGAAAAATGGAAGGATTTCCATATTTATTGCATATATATGACTCCCCTCTCATGTGACTATTTCATGACTTTGAATGCAGAGAAAAATAAAACATTGCCAACATTGTTCTTATGTGCTCAGATTCCTGTTCTATGAATTCTTTCAGGTATATACTAATACCTGTGTACTGAAAGACTGTTATATTGCATACAAATAAAGGGCTTCTCCGGACTGTCCTTTGATGTCGGTGCAAGTCACTTCATATATTCAAAGTGAATTTCCCCTCTTACATTTTAAATGTCTTTGATGACTACTAGAGTAACTGAAAGCCTTTTCTATATTGTTTACATACACACTGTTTCTACACTGTGATTCCTTTCATGCCCTTCACAATTCCTGTGTGTGCTGAAAGCTTTCCCACATTGCTTACATACATAGGGTTTCTCCCCAGCGTGAGTCCTTTTATGCATTTTACAATGACTTTGTGT